TAAGAGATGAATCTGGTCCAGATAACGATTCCAGAAGCGTACAACATCGGTAGGCGGGTCCTCGTCCCAGCCCACATTAAGAACCCATAGGCGTTGAACCAAGACCTTAGCAATCAAGGTAAGGGGCGAAAGAAAACCTAAAGGGTCGAAAATGCGAGCCACTTCGCTCAGGACATTACGTTTGGTGCATTTTACGTGCCGTGGTTTTACCGCAAAGAGAAAAGTGTCACTCCAAGGGTCCCACCTTAGACCTAAAACCTTCAAAAAGCTATTTTCATCGGTATCGAGAGACACTGGACCAGTCAAACAATGTTTCGGTGGCAAATCCTCAAGAAGTTTCGGTTCGTTGCTCGCCCATTTGCGAAGTTCGAAATGTCCTCTCTGAAGCAGGTCGATAACTTCTGATTTAGCCCTTTTAGCGGTCTCCAGGCTCTCAAAACCCGTCACCAAATCATCAATATATAAGTCAGAAGACAAGATCTTACTTCCAAGAGGTAGTTCCTTACCTTCATCAAAGACCAGTTGCTTTATTGTACGACATGCGAGAAATGGAGCGGAAGACATGCCGTACGTGACGGTATTTAAACGATACTCTTGAACGGGTTGGTTAGTGTCAAAACGCCAGAAGATACGTTGGTAGTCACGATCATCCTCGCTAACCACGATCTGCCGATACATTTGTCGCATGTCGGCCATAAAAACAACAAAGTGAACCCTAAAGTTCAAAAGTATCTCAACAATATTAGTTTGTAGTTTAGGCCCTATGAGTAATGTATCGTTAAGCGAAATACCTCTGGAATCCTTGGCAGAAGCGTTGAACACAACGCGAAGTTTCGTTGTGACACTTTCCGGACGAACGACACAGTGATGTGGAATGTAGTACTTTCCACACTTTAAATTTTCGATAGAAACAGGGCTCATATGACCACTGTCTAAATAGTCTTTCATAAACTCATTATATTGCAAACGAAGATCGGAATTTTTGGAAAGTCTTTTTTCTAGTGAATATAAACAACGCAAAGCGATGTCGCGAGATCCGGGAAAAGAATGTTCCTTCTCTTCGTCTTTGAAGGGTAAGGTAACAACGTATCGATACGTGGAATCTCGTGAGTGAGTATTTGCGAAGATATTCTCACACTTATCTTCCTCAGGAGTGAGATGTTTTGAATTTACGAAATTGAATGAATCTAGCTCCCAAAGTTTCTGTACTTCTTCATAAAGAACGTCATGTGTATTAATGAAGAAGGATCGCACCTCTTCGTCTTTGCAACCAACACTTCCTACCAGAAGCCAGCCAAAAACAGAGTTGAGGGCGGATGGTTGCTTCGGTCCTCCGTCGACTCGACCGGGTAACAGTAGCGAAGCGAAGACCTCCGCACCAAGGAGAAGGTCAATGGGGCCAGGCTTATGACAGGTTGGATCAGCTAATGGTAAATTCCTTACATGATGCCACGATGCTTCGTCGAGATGAACGGATGGCATTTTGCCACATATGTGAGGCAATGTTAAGGCGTTTATGGTGAAAAGCGGTTTACCATTGGCACAAATTTGGAGATCAACATTGCCTGTTACTGAAGCGGTTGACTGTCCTAAGCCACGAACTTGACGTGATCTCGAAGTGTGAGTAATACCTAAACGGTGAAGAGCACGTTCGGTAATGAAATGTGCTTGACTGCCAGAATCAATCAAGGCACGAAAGTTTTGGAATATGCCAGACTGATAGCGTAATTGAATGTAAGCGGTAGATAATAGCACGACCGAACCATCGCCGAGACTCGTCAGAACCCTAACCTGATTAGAGGTCTGACTATTATTATTAGATTGATTTTGCGAAGAAACAACCGAAACATCTTCGTGAAGAAGCGTATGATGTCGGTGACGACATTTTTGACAACGGAAAATAGATTTGCAGTCACTAACCGTATGAGAAGGTCGCAGACAGTTGAAGCACAGACGATGAGATTTAACAAACTCAATCCGTTCAGACACGGGGGTCTGTGCAAATTTATGACATAAATTGACAGAGTGATTTTCTGAACAGAAAGAGCAGGTTACGATTGGATGTGCTGATGACTGGGACAATGCATTCGAATTAGATTTAGTGACGTTAGATGATTGCAGTTGTTTAGATAAATGGGATGAATTGGAAAGAAAAACTGAAGTGGATTTGTTACGCGATGCGGACGAATTTACTTTGGCTGGTTGAACCTTTTCAGAAAAGCGCGGTTTGTTATTATCATTTGACGAAAAATGGGTGTCACGAACTAGCGCTTCGCATTTTGCGTAAAGAAAAGATTTCAAATCTTGATAAGAAGGTAGTTCCATTGTCGAGTTTAATTGTTCGAAAGCACAGCGTGTTTTTGTATCTAATTTTGATAAAATTAAATAACAGAGAATAAAATCCCAATTTTCAGTAGGAAGGTTCAAACCCTTTAAAATATTTAGATTTTCATTAAACAAATCCAAAGTGCGACGAAAATCGAAAGGAGAATTTATTTTAAAGTTTACATTTTGCATTTCTTTCCAACACGTAAACGTTAACTCGCGCTTATTGCGGTACCGGGCGATTAAAGTTTCGTAAGCCTCTCTGTAAAAAATACCTTGGACAGGATAAGTACGAATGAGTCCTAAGGCATCTCCACTAAGGCTGGATACCAAATAATGCATACGTTCTGTGTCTGTGAGTGATTCATTATCGTGCACCAATGAATTAAAAATATCGTAATATTCCGGCCACGATTTAATATGTCCCGAAAAAGTAGGTAATTGTAATTTAGGCAATTTTAAATTATAAGTACTTGAGCGTTCTAAAGCAGTAGGTAACGATTGATTTAATTGACTTTCGTTTGAAGGAACTAACTGACGGTGCAAAGCCAAAATGTGAAAATACGTTTCATCAAATTCGGCACGTATGGAATCTTGCTCCTCAGCTGAGGTATCATCAATAACTGACAATATATCGGAATGCGAATCTTCAAAATTATCGACTATTTTTTGCAATGTAGAATAATGAGCAATAAATATGTCAATTTGAGTAGGATCAGTTTTAGCCAGTTCTGCGACAGCAAACATCTTCCTCAAACGATTAAAAGCTAAAGTACGTTTACGACGCAATGTCGATAAATCGGCAAGAGTTAGTCCATCATCAATAGGTATACATTTGGAATTGCGTTTTTTAGCCATGGTATCTGGTTTAGAGCGGCGACGAATATTGTATGACATTTTAGAAATGTATATAAATTAAAATAAAAACGATTTAATTTTGTCCTGGAAAAAATTAAAAATCACTGTCACCCTACTTTATTTCCTTATAGCGAAAATTAAGTACGGGACGAAGCGTAATATTGTAATATGCAAATAGAACAAACAGAATCGTTCGTATGTAAACCAAAATATTTAAACGTAATTTGCAAAATCTATGTCATTTAGGTATAGGTCACCTGTTTACGTACTCAGCTGATTACTGAAAAAATGCGCTTTAGTTATCGGTTTATATATTGAAACGCTGTGAAATCCATTAAAAGGTTAATAAATGACTAAAAGAATTCAATATATTCATATGCCTTTGATTAAATTACAATTTTTTACCAATAAAAATATTATGAGGTAGTTCAACTATGAAATTTCAAATGGAGAATTTACGTTAAATTTAATAATTTTGAAAAGTATTTCGATGAAATACGAATCAAATTGACTATGTTCAATGAAATGAATAATTGGGAACTGAGTTTAACTAGAAAATATTAAGAAAACATATGAAGGTGCGACTTTAGTTCCCGGGTTTCGGCACCATAAAATATGTATTGTTATTGCAAATACATATTGGGGGCAGCCGATATATGTAATTAAAACGATTGAAAAGGGGGCTGCAACGAGATAACGATTAATACACAACTACGAATGGGTTTGCTAAAAGCGTAACGTACACACGTTTGAAACCTTTGTCGCAAGCTTGTGGTCCGCGTATTCTTCTAGCTAGAAGGGCACATTAGCAGCACACACAGTCACAGAAGAAATTCACAGTTTATTGTTGACGAATTCCACTTGTTTGGTATACCGCACGTAAATATAATGGTTATATGATGTTAGCGAGTGCGCGGGCGTGGAACGGAGTGACGTAGGTCCTCTCGCGTGATCAGTGGCTAACTGTCTGCGTTAGGCTAGTAAAAAACCACATTCGCAGATGCATCGTTCTCGTTGCGAACCTACCCACATTTAAAAAAAAAAGAATAAATCAGTAACCACGATTAAGTGATAACGGAACACCAATCATCCTGTAATTATAGATTGTAGAAAATTGCTCTGGCAATGTCATTTAAAAGGTTTCGATGTAGTTTTTGCCTGGATACCTAGTCATATAGGTATTTCTGGCAATGAAATTGCTGATAAACTTGCCAATGATGATGTGGATTGTGGAGATATTTTTCCATACAAAAACTTTATTAATGATCTTTTAGGTCTTCCTAATTCGGATCTACATGAATCTTGGGAACAAGTATGGTCTGTTTCTAGTAAAAATAAAGGAAAGCATTACTCACAAATTCAAACTTTCATTTCTACAAAGCCTTGGTTTTATAATTTTAGATTTGGCAAGATAATGACCTCTATCATAACTCGGATGAGACTGGGTCATGTTTGCACTCCTTCTCATCTGGCCAGATTAGGAATAGTTAATAGCAGTAAGTGTAATTGCGGCGCTGATATTGGCGATTTGAACCATAGTTTTTTTGCCTGCTCCTTAAATGACTGTTCCTCTTTTATTGACTCCATATCCCTTCGTACTCCTCTCCCGACTTCTATAAATACTTTGCTATATTCTATGAAATATGATATTTATTTATGTATTTCAAATTTTATCCTTAAACATAATATTAAACTGTAAATATGTAAATACTTACCTGATCCTTTACTAAAAAATTCCGTTCCTTTTTTTATCCTGTTTCCCTACCTTTACGTTTGTATGTGGCTGACGCACAAACCGTGCAGGCTATAAAGGAAAAAAAAAAGTGATCTGTGTCAAAGAGTAGTTCCTTACACGAAGATTGTTTTGTATAAAATTAATACTGTTTTAGGTTGAATTGAGCTGTGTTATTTAAATAGAAGCAATGTCGAGCACATCTCAAAAACATAGAAACTTCGTCGCAGAGCCTATGGGTGAGAAATCCGTTATGGATCTCGCCGGCGTGGGTGAAGTACTGGGTAAAAGACTTGAAATTGCCGGATTTGATAAGGTTAGTAAATTCTCTTGTATTTATAAATTTTAGGTTTCTGAGGGATTCTCAAAAACTAAAGTTAACGTGGAACAAGTTGCGGGCGACCACTAGTTTGATATTAATTGATTAAAATTTTGACCAAATGTTTATATGTCCAAATTCACAATGAGTGAAACTTTTTGTGAAACTTGAGTTAATTTTATTAGGCATAAATTAACCATTGCGAAATTCAATTCTGCGTAATTTCATTAAGCATAATGTTTATTTTGTGTGACTGACTACTATTATTTTTTGCTTATCAATATAAAAGATTATTTTAAAATAGATTTGGTATTTGTTGTCAGTGAGATAGGTTAGTGTGGACCTAAACTTATACGCAGCAAGCGTACAACGGATATCTGTTTTTGAACTCATAATAGATGATTAAATCAGAAAAGTTCAATATTCATATACCAAAGGACTTAACATTTTGCTTTTTCTCTACATTTACATGAAACAGGTTAGAAAAATTTTTACTTAGGGCTTATTTGTTTCTTGGGTTTTCACGCACATCACTCATAAAATAAAACAAGTTTCAACAGGTTAGATGTACTGATTTGATTTATTTATGATGTTTTGCATCATTTGCAGGAATACATCGAGATGCGTTTCTGATGATGCATTCCTGTAAAGGATGCATAATGTCATAAATACAAAAAGTCAGTGTATCTAACCCATTGAAATTTGTTTTATTTACTTAGGGCTAATTTTTTGTACCTGTTTTATTTTATTTAGTATATAGTGTCACGGAATTTGGTTCGTGTTTCACAGTTATGTGGTAGTCTTTTCAAAATTTATATTTTTTTGTTGCAGGCATATGTGGTTCTGGGACAATTTTTAGTCCTGAAAAAGGATAAAGAACTTTTCCAGGAATGGATGAAGGAGACTTGCAGTGCAAATTCTAAACAGTCAGCAGATTGCTACCAATGTTTAAAGGACTGGTGTGATGAATTTTTGTAAAAAGGAGTTCTAAGTATGTGTAATATTTCAAATATTAATGTTTTACAAATTGTACATATAATGTGAGTGAAATAAGGTCAATTTTAGACAACATTATAGCTATGATAAATAATTAACTTGTGGTATTTGTATTGTTTTTTGTATAATTCTCTTAATATTTTGAAAGGTACCTTCACATTTTTTGCCTTCTATGTAATAAGTAATTTTAAGCAATAAATGTTTTGCCACTATTTCTTTTCTTTTGCATTTAATACTCATTCCCTCTTGAGCATTTGATCTCTGTTAACTCTCAACTGCCATTTCCAGAGCGAGAAAAAGCCTGCTATTATCCCTGATCAAAAGTAAAAATTATTCAAATTGGATGTACAATACAACTCTTTGAGCCTTTCATTTGTGCAGCCTTGTAATCCGTACATTTAATTTATTTTTATTTCTGTTATTAAGCGAGTGCTTATTACCATTTATAGGAAATAATTAAATTTATTCTTTGAACAAATAGGTTGGGGAAGAAGTTTTTTCATTAAAGTATGTAAGAACTTGTAATAAAATCTATTTGGCTATACCATTTGTATGTGGCTGGTTTTGGTATCATTAAAAAGTTTAAATTTTAAAGAAGATAATTCCAAATTCAAATTAGATGTGTTATTTTAATTTGTTTTTCTTACTGCCAAGATGAGTGAACCTAATGAAGAAACTTAAAATTATATACATTTTCAAATTTTACTATCAAGCACTATGGACCGATAGACTGATAAATGGAAAGTTCTACATAATGTTTGGGAAGCTACATTATACAGACGTTGAAAAATACTTTATGTCACACTTCCTTCCATGCTCTGGTTTTCGAATTAATGTCAGAATAATCCTTTAAGGATTTTTCGTAGATTCATAACCTTATTTCTATTTGGTCAATTAATATATCATTATCTTAGATTAAAAAACAAAAAGGGTAGATACGGTACGCTCATACTAGCATCAAATAAAATATGATCCGACGCATACGCATCTACTTAAGCAAACTCAACACACGCACACGTCTGTATATTATAAACATTCAATCGAACGAGCGAGACAGAACTATACGCTTCAACGCAGCGTATTGTTGTCCTTTTCTTGATAACAAAATGGCGATTACGTAAATAACATTCACGATAAACCGTGTTTTTTTTTATATTGTTATATTGAGTGCACGTGCAGCGTGTTTGAATGTCTAATTGTGACTAAAGCGAATTATGGTCATGCACCACAATTTAAGCGGATCACTTTTGAGTTTTAACCTTCTTAGGTCATTATCTGTATCATCTTCATGTAAACATGCATTTTGCACCTAGTTGACGTTGTCGCAGTTATATTGTAATATAAACGAGACGTTAACACGATGACGTTCGAATGCTAACTGAGGTGTAGGTATAAGCGTGAGGCAGGGATGTTAGATGGGCACCTAGAAATCCTTGTGCCGAGCTGGCTGAAAGTTGGTATTCGAGCCGGGAAACTAGTACGCCTGTGCTCCGCTCTGCGGCGCTGCCAATTCTGGGAGCTGTGTGGGAAATCGCATCATCCCAGTAAAAAAAATGTACATTTCAATTTCGTAGACCGTTAATAGAGGGCAGTGATTATCGAACACACGCAAGAAATATCACTTTTAACATTTTGTTTTTGATATTATATTGCATTTCGGATATACTAATGAACAAAAACAAACTTTTATTTTTCTCTTTTGCTTCGTGGTTTCAAATCGTATGCAAGCCGAGGCCGAGACACTGAAGGGTATAAAAAGGTAAACAAGAAATCAGATGCGAAGTGCGAAGATGGCGCAGTAGTCGACTAGCGAACTAGCCAAGCAGTTTCACCAACCTTTCAGTGGCGACAGTGGTAAAAGCAGACAACTGACTTGCGATTTTCTGTCCGTGTTAGATTCAATTTCATGTTCAGAAAAAATATTAAATAATTGATCATTTTTATATGAAAATACTCGATTCTTTCATCAATTGAAGAATATTAATCGTTTATAAGCACGTACAATTGATTGGAATTTTTTTTTACATGAATCTCTAAAATTTGTCGATTATTCTATATTGTCAGTGTATTTTTGTCGGTCAACGGCCAATCTTGGTATTTTTGCGTACAAGGACTGAATAGCCTTGGTACATGGTACGTGACACTAAAAATTAGTATGTATACCAAGAAGTTGGTACGTCTGACATCATTGGCGTGAGGAGCAGGGAGCAGGTGGTCACGTCACGGTGAGGCTATGCGCGCACTGGTGACTTTTGTCAGCGTGACTGTTTCGTCGCTGTCACCGCATACACGGACCTATAAGACGGTGCGCGCACTTGTGTATGTGACTCGTGGGTTACTTTTTGTCCGCGGGGGCCGGCGACAAGCCCGTGACGCAACTGTCACCGCGGCCGAAGGTTAGAATTGCCGTGCGCGCACTAGCAACAAAAAGTCACCAAGTCAGTCAGGGAAGTCTTTCATCAAAAGAAAAAACAGAAGCAGGTAAGTAGTTTCTGTTTTTTCATCAAAAGAAAAAACAGAAGCAGTTTAAGGATTTATTTATCACAGTTTTGTACATACTTCGTTACATACCTACAACATGCTAAAGTTAATTTAAAATCAAGTGTAATGATAATGAGTCAAATGCGCATAGTTACTTCTGCCGAAATAATTATGACGGGTTGAAGGTACTTAATTAATGTTTATTTATATTTTGTCGTATTGCCAAGGAACAGCCCCTTGTGGTGTAATAAAGTAAGTTGAAAAGTAGTTTCTAATATTTGCTGCTAATATCGTTCTTTCAGCGGGGTTTGTAGAAACGCTTACCAATGGACATTCATAAGCAGTATCTATAAATTTAATACCATCTTTACATCGTACGTAATTATGTAAAATGCAGCAGGCTTTGACGATTATATCACAAAAATTTAAATGAACATCAAGAGGTCGGTGTAAAATTTGCCATTTATTACTGAGTATCCCAAACGTGCATTCTACCATTCGACGAGCTCTTGTATGGCGATAATTATAAATCTGCTTTACCGTATTCAATGATTTTCTTGCGTATGGTCTTAAAGTATTCCTTGTTAGGCCAAATGCCTCATCTGCTACCACACAAAAAGGCATGTTTTTTCCAGTTTCATCCTTTGGTAAAGGGCGATCAGGGTATGTTCAGTTGGTTTTGTAGTAATCTTTTACCCATATTTGACCTCTGAAATACACTGGAATCGCTTGCAGCACCATTGGCACCTATATACACATACACAAACTTATAATCTGCATCTACCCATGCCATAAGAATTATTGAAAAAAACTTCATATAATTGAAGAAATGTGATCCACTATTAACGGGCTGAGTAACTCGAATATGCTTTCCATCAATGGCTCCAATTACGTTCGGAAAGTTTGTTCTTTGATAGAATTGTTCAGCTATATTGAACCAATCTTCTTCACTTTTTTCTGCCATGTAAATAGGCTGTATTACATTCCAAAGGAGATTGCTCAGCTTCCATACATGTTTGGCCTAAAGACCAATAATCATGAAAAATTGTTTCCTAGATTCGAAATTATATATAAATTACTGTAGAAACGAATATTATTGACGGACACCCCTGAGAACTTCTATAAACCATATACACTGAACATGTTAAAATAATAAAAAACAAATAAGTTATATAGTAAACTAGGGAAATCAAGCCAAGTACCGAAATTATGGATTAGATTCAGGTATATAGAGCATGTAGATTAACAGATAGTTGCCTGTTTTTAAAGTTAATACATAAGAGTAACTTTTAAAATCAGTTGTCATTTCGGGTTATAATAAGGTGGTACTCTGTGACAAACTGTGTGATGATTGTGAATGAGCCACAGATTAGAGAGAATTTTTAAACTCTCGTTAACCAAAGAAAGCTAAGAGATTAAGGTTCTATGGCCATATATTCAGTAGCTTCCTTATTTTTGTTATGTTTTTTAGATTTTTAGTGTATCACACCTTATAATTTTATTTATTTTTCAATTTATAGTCAGGGAACTTAGGCCCATACCTTAAAGTCTAACATATATACAGATTATAATGTGTTTATGGAGGTGTTTGGCGAAAAATATATGGCAATAGACTTTATGATGTCGCCTACCATCTATAATAATTGTCTGAGCGAGCACATTTGCATCTAGTGAAAATGATAATATAGTTGTGGATATTAATACCACAGTGTAATAAAAAAAAATGATTTATTATATCGATCTTTACGAAATAGATTTGTTTTTGTTATATAAACAACTTCGATCAGTCTTTGGCTGAATGTTACTACACCCATAGCCATTAAAAATGTTTCGTATGTTTTCCAAAACGGTAAAATTAAAAGTCCTTTTTAAAGTAAATATATTATACAAAGGTGTCCGTTGAAATCTAATGACTGTAAATTAAATTATAAATCACGCCAAGAATTACCGTATATGTCAATATTTTTTGTGCATTTGGGCCAATTTGAGCAATCTCCTTTGGATACCTGTAGATTTAACTATTTCTCTTATTGTAGTTGGGCCAAGTAAGTACTCAAATGAAAGAGAGTAGAAGCTTGTGCCAGTGGCGAGATATCTGTAACAAAATACATAATATTATTATTATAGAAAACCTTAATATAAAAATTAAAAAAGAATAACATATTAAATAAATGAATTAAAAATAATAGCCTTGTTACACGATATTAATGTACAAACAAATCAATAAAATTGCATAACTTATATTTTTTTTAGGTAAGATAATACAGAAGAGGTGGAAGAATATAAGAGCTTGTTTTTCCAGAGAACTACGAGAACAAAAGAATACAAAGTCTGGCCGCAAAAGCAGCCAAAAAACGTAAAACATATAGATATTTTGAAAAACTTTTATTTCTCATCCCAAGCATGGAAATGAGAGAGAGCACAGGTAACTCTGCATATAACCCTGATGAAGATGATGAAGGTAAGTCAGAAGAAGAAGATAATGCTAGAAATACAAACAAGCCACAACGTACCAAAAAGAAAGGTGAAAAAAAATCTTATGAGGATAGACTGATAGATATCCTAGAACAAAAAAGAGTGGGTGATAACCAACTTGTTGCGACTTTAGAAAGGAAAAATTAACCCGATAGTAACGACAGTGACAAATGTTTCGCACTCTCCCTTGTGCCTTTATTAAAAGCTGTTCCTCAAAAGGACAAAATAAATGTGCAAATCAGGATTTTACAAATTTTTAATGAAATTCAAAATCAGCAGTTTTTGAGACCAGTTAATCAAGCACCCTCCACAATTTCTTGTCCAGAAAGTCACAATTTACGGAACTGCACTCAAGTTTATTCTAAGCATCACATGATCACACGGCCTAATAGTTCTCTGTCGTTACCATCTTCTAGTCCTCGGCCTCAACAGCGATTTGAGCAGCATTCTGCGTCTTTGCCACCTCCTAGCCCTCAAAACCCATCCTACATAATATTATCATCTCCAGAAGTAACCCTTTCTTGTCCTCAAAATGCAAACATACCGTCTCCTGTATATAGTGAGAATGTTCAGTCATTTGTATCAAACTTCACAACTGGTTCCGGAGATTCTGAAGAAATCTACGACATATGCAAGGAGTATGACATCAGTTAACCTAATATGTAATTTTTCTGACAATGATAATTATAATTAATTTGATTATTGATTTCTGTTAATTACCAACTTAGCACTATTAATCAATAACAATGATATACAAGATTTATAGAATGTTATTTTAGGTTACTGCCAGTCTCTCTTCAGCAGGGATGGATAATCTCATTCTTGTGTTTTCATAACTTATAGTAGGTTTTAATAAAAGTAATAATTTATCAAAACTTGTAACACTCATTCGGAAGAACCGAAAGAATTTATCGGGATAATTACGTAGCTTTGCAAACATTATGTAGAACTTTCCATTTATCAGTCTATCACTCCATAGTGGATGCACCCAATGTTGTTTACCCTTGCATCTTTTTCTATTTCTAATGACGAGTGCACAGACAACTGACTCCTCGAGATCCATCTTAACGAATGCAAAATAAATTCCGCAAATGTTTTGCAACTGTCACTGTAAGTGCGCGCAGTCGAGAAATGTTGGGTGACGTGACAGTGACAAAAAAAATATTGTCACCCTGACAAAAGTCACCAGTGCGCGCATAGCCTGACAGTTGCGTCACGGGCTTGCCGCCGGTCTCCGCGGACAAAAAGTTACCCACGAGCCGCGTATACAAGTGCGCGCACCGTCATATAGGTCCGTGTATGCGGTGACAGCGACGAAACAGTCACGCTGACAAAAGTCACCAGTGCGCGCATAGCTTTACTATTGGCTCAGTCGAGGTCACGTGACTTGCAATAGCCATGAGGTATCTATTCGAAATTTTGGAGTAAAAAATATATTTTTTTTACGACTGACTGACTTGCCTGACTTGACTGACCGAGCGACTGAGCGAGACGAAATGGACGGAAGAATACTTTTTTAAGTGGGCTTTGGACTTAGGGGTCCGAATCGGGCTCACTGAATGAACACGGCTCAGATTCTATAAATAAATAAGGCTAATAAAATTAAATTTGACAACAGTCTATCCTTGTCATGCTCTATACAGAATGAGCTCTGAGCCCCCAATTATCCCCCCATCGCTGTACTCTCTCACTTTTTGGCGATAAATTACTCTACGCCGCCGGCCAGCCCCAGCCGCGACGGCGCCGGCGGTCGTCAAAACCACCTGCTACTCAGCTCGCGGTAAACTGTACTTTCAGGGCTCAAGAGGTGATACTTGATTTTTTTTGTAGAAAAGGTCTCTTCTAAAGGTAGGCTGGCCCCTACCGCTGCACGCTCGCTTCGCTCGTTAGGCTCGCGCGTTATGGTCACAACACTAAGCTAGTGTGAAGTATCACCACTTGGGCCCTGGAAGTACAGTTTAGCTCGCCTCGCGCCTACGTGCTTTTAAATTGCACTCTAGGGGTAGCGCAGATAAGACTACGCGAGTCGGGGTAAACTGAGTCATTTTAAATACCTTTTTTTATTCTAAAAAGACAACATGAAATCGTATTTTCGATGTATATTGATGTTTAAAAATATGGGTAACAAAACTTCGATGTAACATTATTTCGAAAAAATGTATAAAACATGAAAAGAAATAACGATGAACTGTGTTTGTAGATAATAAATATTCGAGGAAACGAAAATGCGATGTAACCTAATTCTAGGGTTTGTTAAATATTGAAAAAAAGTGCTGCGATTCGTTTTATGTGTAATGAAAATCATTGAAAGGAATTGCGATAAAATGATGGATTCTCATTTAATTAAGGTTACCTACATTCTTAATGGCGGAAAACGCAATTTGACATGCAATTTAAAAAAGAAAGTAGTATTCTAAGAAAAACAGTAGATTCATGTAGAAGAATAGGAGAAATTTCAGAAAAACAGGAGATCTCCTGTAAAATCGGGAGACCTGGCAATTTGATTGTCAGAATAAGAAGACTATAAACAGCTCAATATTATAATGCATAAAAATATTTCAAAATCATCAGAAAAACTTTCAAATGTAGTAATTAGTCATTGTCCCTCTGGATATTTTTACCCGGCTGCGCAATGCAAGAGCGCGAAGCGCGACGCGCAGACAGGGTTATGTGTTTAACAGTCTATATATGTATGTTTGTTCCTTTGTGGCACACTAGAGACCAAACGCCTGGACCGATTTTGATGATTCATACATCAATCGATTCGTCTCAATCATGGGAGTGCTACTAAAGATATGATAGTAATCAAAATTCAGTATGGGCAAAATTAGGCGCCATATTGTGACGAAGTAAAAAAAATAAGTTGACAAAATATGTCGAGTGGGGTATCACTGTCTAGATAATCAAAAATCATATTTAGGTTCCTAACACCATTTTTCATTTTATATGATTGTTTAGGATCTACAACGCTTTAAAGTTGTATATTAACCACTTACGCTTTTAATTTTAATCTTACGTTTGTATGGATTTTTGTTGCTCTTTCACCAAAAAAATACTGAATGGATTTTAATGAAACTTAACAGTAATATAGCTCATATATGATAATTACATATATATAATAATTTATGTAGTTATTGAGTGAATTGGCCAATATATAACAATAAGTTTTGTAGTGTATGTCTAACAAAGACGTACATACATTGTCTCGGGTGTTCGTACGTAAATGTACAAACGTCAGTGTCATGTGAGCCGAAGGCGAGTGTGGACGTTGTATCAGTTTATGTGCGTGCATTGTCGAGCCAGTGATCTTCGGGTGGAACGGCAATCACTACAAGTGGCGACGAGTCAAAAGGTATTTTTTTTTCTACAAAACAAATAAAGGGAAGATTAATATGATGTTGTAACCACTGCAACATTTGAGGTTACCAAATATGGTTTATACTTTGTAATACATTGAAATTATTGTCTGTTTAGTACCATTCATATGTTATTGTTAGGCGATTATGACACATTTTATCGAAACCATTAATTATGTAAGTCCATGACCGAAACACAAAAAAATTTCAATATAGATGTACGATTACAATTTAGACATTTTGCGGTTATAAATTTATTTTACCATTTTACATACATCATGGATTGATTTTCGGTAATATTATGTCTGATGTACGGGAATTTTGTAATAACTTTCATCCGAATAATCTCTAATAGTGAATAATGAGTAAGAAGATTCACGAAATGTTTATAGTAGCTCACAAACTGCAGCAGCAAAGGTTATCTGAAATTGATCGCATACCTTACCTACAAATATTACCTCGCAATAATGTTAATTTTTGTCGAACACACATTAAAATATAAAGAGTCATCCGATAAAGTAAATAACGTCTTATAATTTTTTCTTCGTTCGTGAATGGCAATTAACTCCTCACGGGTGTTATTTCTGCCTGTGTCAATTACTTTTTGTTGGTTTTTTTAGTTTTATTGCAAGTGTGGTGTATATATTACATCCTTAACTGAATACATTTACTTATATAATATTCTATGTGATGATGATTATTGATTGAATGCGATGGTGGCTTTTATTATTATTATTTAAAGTGCACAAATAGAATGCAACGGACATGTTAGGCGATAATATTAATTAAACCATTTAATATTGGTGGATATAGAATATTGTTATATAAGTTGGGTAGTAAAGAAAGAAAGAAAGAAAGAAAGTATTTTTATTAGCCTTAAAAAAATAGATTATACAAAACAAATACAATAACAGAAAAAAAGGCCAACTAGGTCCCTGCCTCAGCATAGTAAGTAATATTATAATTAGCAAATTGAAACCAACGTAAATATTACATTATATTGACTATTATAATACGTAACAGGTAATTTTCAAATATACTTATTAAAGAGAATAGATGTTTTTCCTTAATGAAAGTGGAAATTTGGTTTCAAATATTATGAAGACCATTTAAATTGGAAACGTTTATGGTAGTGAACTATTTCATTAAAATATATGATAAACTACCTCACTTAATTGGAAATTGGTTAAAAATAAATTAACCCCCATTAAATTGGGAAATTTGGTCATAAATATAATGAAGGCCTCCATTAAATTGGGAATGTTTGTTGGACGATGTCTCATAAAATTGGTTAAGCTACCTCCATTTAATTGGTAACAGCTAGTTTGGTTAAGCTACCTCCATTAAATTGGTAACAGCTAGTTTGGTTCAGCTACCTCCATTAAATTGGTAACAGCTAGTTGGTTCAGCTACCTCCATTAAATTGGTAACAGCTAGTTTGGTTCAGCTGTCTCCATTTAATTGGTAACAGCTAGTTGGGTTCAGCTACCACCATTTAATTGGGAACAGCTAAAGTAACTATGTTATTAATTTTAGGTCGCCCCAACAGGACCTACTAAAGCCAAATAATGGCTAATCCATTACCACCTTTAGAAGGATTAGATGTGGAAGGTGACAATGCCTCAGTTGGACATAGATGGGAGAAATGGAAAAGAGCATTGTTGATATACCTTGATGCATCTGATATAACTACCCCGCAGAAGAAGAGAGCAACGTTGTTGCACTTTGGAGGAACCAACCTGCAAGAGATATATTACAACTTACCAGGTGCCCATGTTGAAGCTACCGGAAACGCTGATGTCTTCAAAATCACCGTCGAAAAACTGGACGAATTCTTTCTTCCAAAACAGAATCGAGTATACGAACGTCACATGTTTCGACTCATAAAACAAGAAGACGGAGAAAAATTTGAAAGGTTTTTGCTGCGACTCCGGAAACAAGCAGATAAGTGCAATTTTGATCGGAAAGATGATCATCTCATTGATCAAATAACCGAAAAATGTACTTCGACAGATTTACGGAAAAAAATTCTTACTATTGGTGATAGCATCACTCTGGATAAAATTGTGACCGAAGCAAATACAATAGAAGTGGTGAATGACCAAATGGAAAATTATGGAAATAAGAAACAGGAAAGTCAAGAAGTCAATGCTATATATAACAAAAAGAAAAGGGAAGAAACAAACCATAAAAGACAGACATACAATAAAAACGAGAATAAAAGCTGTGGTAGATGCGGAAGCAGAAAACATTACACAGATGATGAAAACTGCCCAGCGAGAGCAAAAACATGTCACC